TATATATACACACATGCACACACACATATAACACCCAATATACGGGAATTCTTGATAAATAGACATTTGTTACTGTCAAATGACCAAGAGCATGAGTCCATGCCTGTTCAGCCTAGGTTGTAAGAAAGAGAATGGCAAATGAATTCATTCCAGAAGACAATGTGGATGATTCTGATTCTGACTGGAAAGAGAGAGTGATGAGCCCAGAGGATTTTGAAAGTTGTTCTGGCTGCAAGCAGGGCTGCCAGTGCAGCAATTTTGTGGTGGTAATGGCTGCCAGGCTTGGTCTTTATGAATTTCTCTCTTTGTGTCTGGTGAATCTAAACAGATCTGTGAAACTTTGAAGGAGGAAGATTGTGATTTAGGTGATATGGCCCCTTATCAGCCCTGGAATTAGCAACGGATTAGACTCGTCCAGGCTCCCTCAAATTTCTCTCTGCCTATGTGTGTGTGCACGCGTGTGCGTTGGGGGGGCTGTGGTGGAGAGATCAGAAGAGAGGGGAAAGGTCATAGTAACTCAAGTCATTTGGGGATTTCTGAGGTCCATCTGATTTCATGGCTTTGTTTTCCTCCCCCTAGATCAGCCTCTGTGAATTCAGTGCTTCTCCTGGCAAGTAAACCCCAAGGAGGACTGACCAGTTCTTGAATTTCTATACCATGGCCCTTGTAAGTTTTTTTCTCCTTGTGGGAATACTATCATGTTAAGGTCCTGTCACCATTTTTTTATCCTGAAACTTCCTAACTGGAAGAACCTTCTTCCAGTTCTTCCATATCCAGTGGCGGGTGAACCACAATGCTTGTCCTATGAACACTCTTTATTCTAGTCATTGTTCTTGTATTTGTTGAACAGATCATTCAGCGTCTCCTATATGTGCTCAGTCTTCTGCTAAAAGCTGCGATGGAGGAAAAATGAAATCTCTTAAATATTTGACCAGTCTTTGTGAGTTGATAAGAGAGGATGGGCCCATTTAGCCACTTACAGGAAAACTGAACTTTTCCAGACTTGAGTTTTCCAAGTGTGTAAGATAAGGGTCGTGGCTGGGCATGGTGGCTTGCACCTGTAATCCCACCCATTCAGGAGGCTGACATAGAAGGATTGCTTGAGCCCAGGAGTTCGAGGCTACAGTGAAACTATGGATGTGCCACTGTACTCCAGCCTGGGTGACAGAGGGAGACCCTGTCTCTTAAAAAAAAAAGAAAAAGGGCCGGGCGCGGTGGCTCAAGCCTGTAATCCCAGCACTTTGGGAGGCCGAGACGGGCGGATCACGAGGTCAGGAGATCGAGACCATCCTGGCTAACACAGTGAAACCCCGTCTCTACTAAAAAATACAAAAAACTAGCCGGGTGAGGTGGCAGGCGCCTGTAGTCCCAGCTACTCGGGAGGCTGAGGCAGGAGAATGGCGTAAACCCGGGAGGTGGAGCTTGCAGCGAGCTGAGATCCGGCCACTGCACTCCAGCCTGGGCGACAGAGTGAGACTCCGTCTCAAAAAAAAAAAAAAGAAAAAATTAAAAAACAAAAAGGTAAGAGTTGCTATTAGCTGGCCTCAGCCTCAGTGTATCATAAGATCTCATGCTCTGTGAGGCTTTTAGGACTGATTAGGGGTGTGGCTAGGTCTTACACACAGAGAGATCTGAGATCTTCTCTTGGAATTCCTGAGTTACATAGGAACAAGATTCTATTTTTGGTTGAACAGGATGTGCTGGTCTAGAATGACATCTTTGTGATTCTGGATTATGCTGTATCAGTATCCTTTAACTCAGGAATCAGGAAGGCATACAGTGAGGGATGGAAAGTGATAGCATGTGAGAAGGTAATCCAGGTACATAAGTAGTCACGTTGACTCCCAGAATTGAGGAGGATCTTAAGGTTTTGTCCAACCAAAATATCTAAGTATAGAAGAATGATTAAATCTCACATATGCATTGTATAGACTATTATACAACCAATTTTTTTTTTTTTTGATACGGGGTTTTGCTTTTGTTGGCCGGGCTGGAGTGCGATGGTGCCATCTTGGCTCACCAAAACCTCTGCCTCCTGGGTTCAAGCGATTCTGCTGCCTTAGCCTCCCGAGTAGCTAGAATTAGAGGTGTGCGCCACCAGGCCCAACTCATTTTGTATTTTTAGTAGAGACAGGGTTTCTCCTGTTGGTCAGGCTGATCTCGAACTCCCGACCTCAGGTGATCTTCCCACCTCGGCCTCTCAAAGTGCTGGGATTACAGGCGTGAGCCACGGTGCCCAGCCTATATAACCAATTTTTAACAGTCATGATTAGAAAAATGCTTATGATACGATCTGCTTCTAGGACAAACTTAGAAGACATTCTCTAATTGCATTTAGATCCTTTTCTAAAATAAAGATATTATACGGAGGGAGGCTTTAAAAAACAATCTGTTATTTAAGGAGAAAGGGGTGGAAGAACTCACCTTCCTTGGGAATTTATGAGGGAGACATAGTAGGCAACGGCTTATATACAGTATTTCATTTAATTGGAAAACTGATTTTTTTTTCTTTCCCAGGCATGTCTAGATTAAGATTTGCCAGAGTATAAGAGGCTGTGTCTGTAGCGACAGGATCCTTCAGGAACCCAGGCACTTTGCTTCAGGCACACTCATTTCCTGACTCGCTGTGTTGCAGGCTTCCAGCCCGAGCCTGTTTTCTTACCATATGGTCCACTTCCTGCAATATCTCTTCCCTCTTTTCTCCTTCTATCTTAAAATACATTTTCTTCCATTTCATTTATAATGTGTGGTTTGTCATTTCAGCGATCGGTGATGTTCAGTGATGTATCCATAGACTTCTCTCCGGAAGAGTGGGAATACCTGGACTTGGAACAGAAGGACTTGTACAGAGATGTGATGTTGGAGAACTACAGCAACTTGGTCTCTCTGGGTAAGGTCAACTGCTTCTAGGAATTTAGACTCTGTTCTCTGTAACATCAACTTTTTCCTCTGGAAATTTCAAGAGTATCTTTTAGGAAACTATCTAAATTTTTGCTCCACTTTCTAAAGGGAACACTTTGAGCTTTATTTCACTGGAAGTGAGCACCTTCATTAAGCACATCCACCCTCCCCATCCTTAAGTAGCCCTTGGGCCTTCCTTAATAACGAAGGGGCTGGGTTTGAGATCTTTGTGATTTGTAGCCTTACCAGTGTCAAAGAAAACAAGTTTCACTTTGTGTTTGGATTCAGAATTACTTTAGATGTTTTGTTGCTTGTTGGTGTATTTGTAAGGGAAATAGCTAGATCCTGTTTATTGAGTTTACTCTATCAAAAGAATACATATGATTTATGTAGTGGTAAAATGGATCAACAGCATTTATTTACAATTCAAGAGAACTCATACCTTTCATTAATAAACAAACATACTCAATTTTACCAGCTTTACCTACTTTTATGATTGAAAATTAAAAATGTAAGAATTTTGTTCATGTGTTTTATTGCACAGCAAGATGAGTATAGTTAATAATAATGTGTATTGTATATTTCAAAAAGGCTACAAGAGAGTGTTTTTAATGTCCTCACTACAAAGAAAAGAAATAATAAATATTTGAGGTGATGGATATGCTAATTACCCTGATTTTCTAATTCCACAGTAACATGTATCAAAACATCGCATTGTAGCCTATAAATATATACAATTATTAGTCAAAAGACAAAATAATTATTAGTGAGTATATGGAAAAACTGGAACCCTCATACATTACAGTGGGAATGTAAGATGTTAAAGATACGACCCTGTAATTCTTCTCCTAAATGTTTACTCAAGAGAAATAAAAACATGTGTCTATACAAAGATGTATAAGTATTCACAGCAGCATTATTCACAATGTCTAAATAAATGGATAAATAAAATATGGCACAGTCATACAATAGACTATTCATTGAAGAACCAAACTCCTGATACATGTTATAGCATGCAAGAATATCAAAAACACGATGCTAAGTGAAAGAAGCCAGATGCAAAAGATTACATATTATATGATTCTGTTTATATAAAATGCCCAGAAAAAGCAAATCTGTAGAGACAAAAAGAAGATCAATGGATGTCTGGGGCTGGGAGTAGGAATGAGGATTGACTGCCAGTGACCAGCAGGGATGTTTGGGGGATGATGGAAATATTCTAAGTGTTGATTGTGGTGATGTTTGCACAACTCTGTAAATTTACTAAAAATCATTGAATTGTACACTTAAAACAGGTAGATTTTATGTTACATAAATTATATTGCAGTAAAGCTGTTAAAATCCAAGAACTTTACATTTAATTTAACATTGTTTGAATATCCAAGAAATAATAATACATCTCCTAGGAAGCTTATTTTTCCTCTCAGCAAAAGAAGAATAACCAATAGCTAATGAAATATAAATAGTGTTTGGTATATACTCTAGGCAATGTTTAGATACAGACATATATAAATATAGTATTAACAATAATCATATAAGATAGGTACTATGATTATCCCTATTTTATAGGGAAGGAAAAGGTAGCATAGAAGTAACTTGCCCAAGGCCACACAACTGGGACGTGGCTCAGACAGGATTTGCACCCAGCAGTCTGTGATCTCAACCACTATTGCCTCTGAAGAAGAAACACTTATATGAATATAGATTTTGAAAAGATTTTTTCATTCCTTGTTTAATCTCTATTTATTGTGTAACCTTAATGTACATGTTTTTAAAACATCTTTCACTTCTTTGTTTTGCCTTATCAATTACTGTTTTGACACATAATTTAACCAAGTCTGAATCAAAGTAATTTTGATTTATTTTTTATTTTCATGTACCTTATATTCCTTTTCTTCTAAACAGGATGCTTCATTTCTAAACCAGATGTGATTTCCTTATTGGAACAAGGAAAAGAGCCTTGGAAAGTTGTGAGGAAAGGAAGAAGACAATATCCAGGTGAGGGCCAGTTGGGCAGGAAGAAGCCATCACCACAGGGAGCCCCAGATGGTTGGGGAAGAGGCACATCCTTATGTTGTTTAGAAAGCCCTCTTGAAAGGTCTGTGGCCCAAGGAGGAAAGGTCTGCAACCTGGGGAGCAAATTAAGGTCTTAGTTGGGGGGTACTAAAATAACCACTTATTTGTCCCATTTACCACTCTTCTTTTTTATTATTGTTCTCTCTAGTTTTCCTCCTCTTTGATGGAACTGAGGGGTGGGGTGGTGCTCTCTTTGGCTCACTGTTGACAACCGTTGTATATTTTGATTCAGTTGCTTTCCTCTTTTGCATTTATTTTTTTCCTGAGATGGAATTTTGCTCTTGTTGCCAGGCTGGAGTGCAATGGCACGATCTCGGCTCACTGCAGCCTCCACCTTCTGGGTTCAGCGATTCTCCTGCCTCAGCCTCCCGAGTAGCTGGGTTTATAGGCATGTGCCATCGCGCCTGGCTAATTTTTGTATTTTTAGTAGAGACGGGGTTTTGCCATGTTAGTAGAGACAGGGTTTTGCCATGTTGGCGAGGCTGGTCTTGAACTCCTGACCTCAGGTGATCCGCCCACCTCAGCCTCCCAAAGTGCTGAAATTACAGATGTGAGCCACCGTGCCCAGCCCCTCTTTTGCATTTATAGTGTCAGTTGAAGAATGACAAAGTTCATACATTTGGAAAGGAGTGCTTTATTTTTCATAAAGGGTTGCAGCTTGCAAGGTGGTTATTCTGACAGACTGGGAAGTGTAGCCTAGGTTTCTGCCCAGAGACAGGCACTTCAAGGGAGGTAGAGGGTAAGACAGAAACATATGCTGAATGTTAGCCAAGTATACATGTTCAACAGGCTACAGGAGGAGCTATGAATACTCAGGAAGGAGACTGTACACATACATATTAGGTTAACATAAGTCCTATGATCACTTTAGGGTAGAGATTTAACATTTAAATGCATTATAAGTAGGACCTATACATTAAAAGGGTAAATGTAGGACACAAGTCCATGATCTGTGTATCCTTGGGAGACCAGTCAAAACCAGTCCAAGGCTGTAAGTTGTTTATCAAGAACAAGCTGTGGACTGGAATAGCTGTCATGTTGGAACCATAAAAACAGGAGTGTGGAGTGGTGGGGGAGTGTTCTGATGAAGTAAGCGAAAGGGTCTTTCAGCCTTTGATTTTCTCAAGCTGACTTTTGAGAAAATCTAATGATCAGAAAGGTGAAAGGGATTGGAAGCAAATGGGTCATGACCAGCCTTCTGTTCCGCCATGTGCCATGACTGGGAACTTAAAGTTTGGGGGTCTTTAGCCAAAAGAGGGTCCTTCAGTCTGTCGGGGTTTAGGACTTTTACTTCGGTCTTTAATAAATAGATAGGTGGCCTCGGAGTACAGTGGTAAACAACCCGTCAAGTTTCTATTCCCACCGAATTTACCTTGTAATAAGAAAAACGTAATACCTATAAATAAATAGGAAATACAATGTCAGGTAATGAGAGTGCTATAACGAAAAGTATGCAGAGTAAGGGGATGGAGATGTGCTATGGGAAGATTATTTTAGTTATCAGAGAAGACTTTTTTCCCCCATCTTTTCTCATAAATTATTAAAGGAAAATAAAAGACTACAAAAACGGTATGCTTGATATTATAATCATATGTGTGTTATCAGCAACTAAAGTTTCATATGAATTATTCTAGAAGATAACTCCTAGATCACAGAATATCATTCTTACTTGCTTTTTCCATCTATGTATCTATCTATCTTCACATTAAGAAGAAATATGGATATAGTAGACTCTAGAGAGAATGATCTCATTATCTTTCATTTACCTTGTCTAGGTGCTGTTTTCATCTCTCTTTGCAGCTCTTGTTTCACATGTTTTTGTTTTGTTTTTTTTTTTGAGACGGAGTCTCGCTCTGTTGCCCAGGCTGTAGTGCAGTGGTGCAATCTCGGCTCACTGCAAGTTCCACCTCCCAGTTTCTCGCCATTCCTCCTGCCTCAGCCTCCCGAGAAGCTGGGACTACAGGCGCCCGCCACCATGCCCAGCTAAGTTTTTGTATTTTTTTTTAGTAGAGTCAGGATTTCACCACATTAGCCAGGTTGGTCTCGATCTCCTGACCTTGTGTTCTGCCCGGCTTGGCCTCCCAAAGTGCTGGGATTCCAGGCGTGAGCCACCACACCTGGCTATGCCTGGCTAATTTTTATAGTAGAGGTGGGGTTTAACCATGTTGGTCAGGCTGGTTTCGAACTCCTGACCTCATGATCCGCCCATCTTGGCCTCCCAAAGTGCTGAAATTACAGGTGAGAGCCACCGCACCCAGCCACAAAAGGCTTTAAAAATGTTTTTATACAGAGACATATGTTGCAATTTTGCATTTTCTTCTCTGTATATTCAGGTCTGGATGAGGACACTTATTTTAGGGTACTAGTTCTTATTTTATAACCGTAGGGCCATTTCAGTGCCTACACTGTTTGTAATGTTCTATCTTCTGACTTAACCTTCTACCAAAAGAAAGAAAAATATGCTTTTTCCCTCTAATCTCTAATCTTATTTTTAAATTTAAATTTTATTTTATTTTATTTTATTTATTTTTTTTGAGACGGAGTCTCACTCTTCTGCCCAGGCTGGAGTGCAGTGGCGTGATCTTAGCTTACTGCAAGCTCCGCCTCCCGGGTTCACACCATTCTCCTGCCTCAGCCTCCCGAGTAGCTGGGACTACAGGCGCCTGCCACCACGCCCGGCTAAATTTTTTGTATTTTCAGTAGAGACGGGATTTCACCATGTTAGCCAGCATGGTGTCTGTCTCCTGACCCTGTGATCTGCCTGCCTCGGCCTCCCAAAGTGCTGGGATTACAGGCGTGAACCACTGTGCCCAGCCCCCTAATCTATTTTAAAATTCACATTCAGGTAATTAAGTGACATCTACAATTATTAATACTCAAAATGTAATGCAGAGGTTCCAAGTGAATAAGATAATATCCATTTAGTCAGGAAGCATTTTGCCAAAATAATAACTGTTGGCTCAGAGTTAGACACCTTAAACAAGACCATGTATTTTTTTTTCTTTCTTTTCTATTCTTCCTTTAAGAAAGTTTGATTAAACTATAAATAACATGCCTTCAGAAAAGTGGACAAATGACTTTCTTAAGGTGATATTTGAAAAGAGACATGAAGTAAGGGCTCAAGACATGTCATTTTCTGGGAAAAGGGCATTATGAGCTGATAGAAAAGGTCTGAGTGGGGCGTTAGCCTTGCTTGTCTGAGGAATAACAAAGACGGCCATTATGGTCAGAGCAGGGAAAGGGAAAGTAACAAGATGAGATCAGAGTTAGGCAAGGACCTGGTAATGTAATCACTAAGTGAAATTGAAAGCCACAGGCTGCTTGTATTCTAAAATGATTTCTCCAGTTGAGTGCAAAAGCAGGAAGCACTGATATGGAGGCAGTTTCAGTTGTTGAGTTAGACAGGGTGGGTGGTGGTTTGGATAAGAAAGGCATTGTTAGGAAGTAGTAGGAAGCTGTTAGGCTCATGATGTGTTTGAAGGCACTGTCAAAAGAACATGCTGATAGGATTATAAGTGAACTAAGTGGGAAGGAGTGATATAAAAGGAGAAGAAATGGGTGTTGGCTTAAACAACTGGGTTAATAGAAGCAGAAATTACTGAAGTGGGAAGATAGGAAGAGCAAGTTGGAAAGTTGACACTAAGAATTTCTGTTTAAGATATTTTAAATTTGATATGATTAATATCTGTCCAGTTTGAGATGTTGCGTAGGCAGTTGAATATGTACACCCGGAACTCGGAGAGATTACAGCCTGGTTTATGTTTGGCTGTCTTGATGGTTGGAATTTACATTCATGGGTCTGGATGTGACCAACTAGGGAAGGCAGGCAGGTGAAATAAAGCAGATAAGGAGAAGCGGCCTGAGAACTGACTCATGGGTCACTCTACCATGTAGACCTTTGAAAGAGGGAAAGAGGGACAACAAAAGAGAAAGAAGGAGCAGCCATTGAGATAAAATAAAAATAAAGCAAATGTTTCACCATGGAGGGAGTAGAGAATGAGGACTGAGAATTGACCCCAGGTTCTAGCAAGATGGAGAATCCTGGTGAGCTTGTCAAGAAAGATTTCAGTGGAGTCAGGATGAAAGCCCAAGTGGAGTGACTTGATGAGAGAAGGGTTGGTGAGGCAGTAATGAGAATGAATATAAGACAACTCTTTGGAGGAATTATGTATGAAGGGAAGCTGGGAAATAGGGTTGGCAGTTACACTGGGGATATGGGTTAAAAAGCAGTGTATTTTATGACATGAGGGCATGTTTGTGTGCTCATGGGAATGATTCTATGGGTAAAGGAAATCAATACAGTAGAGAAAGGGCATAATTGTTGGAGCAATGTCTTCAAGACTGGAGTGGGAAAGGATCCAGTGAGGAAGGGGGAATAAAAGGGAAAACAGTGTAGTTACGTGTGCAGGTAAGTTGGTCAGGATGGTGGAGAGAAGACACCTTATTCTTCTGTTGCTGTTTTCTCAGTGAAATAAGAAAGATCAATAGAATGTGAGAGCATCAATGGAATATTATTAGCATTCAGTATGGGCTTATTCAGGATGTGATTAAAATTGATTCTCCGAAGTACAGTTCCTTAGATGTCAGGTTTTATTATTTTCAGATCTTTGTGCATTGTCCCTGTGTTGAAATGCAAATAGGACTTCCTTGGAACCAAATCTTATGTATCCCAGACTTCTTGTTTCAACAAAGTAAGATGGTCGATACAGTGCCCAAATAGAGTAAGTCTAAGTGATTTATATGACATTTTCTGTTTAATTAAAGGTGGTTCTCTGCAAAGAGGAATCACATTTATGATTTTTTATATTTATATATTTTTACCTGATCAAAAAAAGGACTTTTCTACATTCTCATCAGAAGTGTTTAATAGACTAGAAATCCTTTGATCCAACAGATTTGGGACTGGTAAT